GATCCTCGGGAAGGACTGCGATTGGATGCCTGGCTGCTGCTGCTGCTCCTCCTCGAATCCTTGGTTCTCCATCTGCGAGGAAAGTCTGGGTTAGATGTGCATTAGAAAGGGAACTTTTATGGTTGATGATTAGGGGAATGTGGGTTTTGGTAGGTTGAAGTTTTGGGCATGTTGGTGGGAATGAGGCTTGGTGGGAATGGTTTGTTGTGATGAGGAAACTTTGGATAGTTTTGATGCTTTTGAGTGTTACGATGTATTTGATAAGGTCGAAGCTTACGATTTGGGATGTGGAAAATTCAAAGCTTAGGATTTAGAATTTGATAAAGTCAAAGCTTATGATCTAGAACGTGACGAACTCAAAGCTTACAATTTAGAACTTGACGAACTCAAAGCTTAAAATTTAGAACTTGGCGAACTCAAAGCTTACAATTTAGAACTTGACAAACTCAAAGCTTACAATTTAGAACTTGGCGAACTCAAAGCTTATAATAATAGAACTTGACGAACTCAACGCTTAAAATTTAGAACTTGACAAACTCAAAGCTCACAATCTCAAACTTAAACAATTCAAAGCCTCCAATTCCAACTCAAGAACCTTAAACACAATAGCCAAACCCTCAAGTTCTACGAAAGAACTCCCAGAATTACGCATTGTCACACTGAAATGCCGATTACCAATCACGCGTCTCAACCTCGAAGATTCCCTCATGAAAAACAATCGCCGGTTGTCTCCGATTCGTCATCCATCCTTGAATAGCCAAGATTCCCATCGGCGTCGACCGATGAGTCTTATCCAGCAAACCGCAATCGGTATTACGCTGTGCAACCGGTTAACAATCGCGATCCTGTTAACCCGTCCGATCGGCGTCACTCGTTGACTCACCGCGCGTGGATCGACTGATCGATCGCGGATCCAGTGGAACGTCCGGCCGGCTTCATTGAGATTTTCGATCGGTAAAATCGCGGCGGGACCCGCGCGGAATAGTACCGAGGCGCGAGGTCGATGACGTCAGGGCACGCTTTCGCCAGAGATCAATCGGAGAGTCAAGTCGCGATAATTGCGACAATCGTTCGGGACGCTCCCCAACGAGACGGTTTAATTCCCGGTCGCCCCCCCTTTTCCACGAGGCCCGCACTGTTTCGCATTTCGTTCCAATTTAAGGGGAGCGCCGCACGTCGCCGCCATTTACTTCGGTTCGACGGATCGCCGGACGCTAATTGCGCGAAACCACCTCGGACTCGAGCGAGAATTTCTTTTATCGATTATTATTTAGCTTTTCGAAGTGTTTTCTGGAGGAGGAAGCAGGTGGTAATGAGATGAGAGCAGGGGATTGATTGTTATTCGCTCTTTTTCAAGTTTTGAGAGCTGAAAGTGAAGCTTTTGATATGGAGATGTTTGATCTTCTATGGATCCTTCGATTCACTATCGCCTAATTTTCAAAAACAAATAGAGAAATTATCCTATCGATTATTCTTTATCTCATCGAAGTGTTTCCAATAGGAAAAATCAGATGGTAATGAGATTAAAGCAGTGCATTTGATTGTTATTCGCTCTTTTCGACTTTTCGAGCGCTGAAAGTGAAGCTTCTGACATAGAGATGTTCGATTTCCCATAGATCCTTCGATCTACTGTCGCTCAATTTTCAGAAACAACTCGAGAAATTATCCTATCGATCATTCTTTACCTCATCGAAGTGTTTCCAAAAGGAAAATTCAGACGTCAACGAGATGAAAGCACTGAACTCAATTTTCATTCACCCCTTCCAACATTTCGAGCGCAGAAAAACAGAAATCCTCGATCTAGCAAACAGAAGATCAACACCCCCTTAGTACGAGCATCCAGTGGCCAGTGATCCGAAGGTATAAATATCGATCTCCGAGGAGAGGGCCGGTCATCGGTGGTCGATCGTCGCGAGATATCGATTCGTTTAAACGAATCATAAGGAGAGGCCCCGGTTCGGTGGTCGTGGGAGCGTCCGGCTTTTTCTCTACCCACATTCGATAAACGAATCGATAAACGAATCGGCCCGGGTCCCGTGGCTTCCACGCTCGGCCGGGGAAAAAACGAGCCGGTGCGGCGATCATCGGGGACACGATAATTGGCGAGGAGAAGAGGGCCGGCATCGGCCCACAAAACGCTTAATTATATCCACGAGGCAGCTCGTTCGTTTCTCTTTTCTCTCTCTCTCTCTCTCTTTTTCGTTTCGTCTCGTTATCTGTGTTGCTTTCCCTCTCTTCATACGGGGAGCATAAACTGTCATGAATCGATCAAACCGCTACGAACGGGGCACGGATCTCTCCGCGGGCGACGCAGGTGGTCGCTGGTGCGAAACTCTTCGATCCTTATCTGCATTATTTTTCCGGCGACTTGGAATTTCTTCGATTGTTGCCCGGATCGTATTTGATCGATATCTCGGAGGAGGCGAAGTTCTATGAGTATCTCTTATTTAACCCTTCGCGGACGAAGATTAAAGGAAATATAGAAAACCATCGACAGATGAAGCTAAATTACATATCGATTACTTGAACAATAGGAAAATAGAAAACTACGTGAATTTCTTCGATTGTTGCCCGGATCGTATTTGATCGATATTTCGGAGGAGGCGAACTTCTATGCATACTTGGCCAAATTCCCTTTCTAGTTAACCCCTTGTCCTACAACGAGTTAGACTCGTGATAAAGATTTTCAACATGATTCAACAAATATATCACTCGGTTCATTCGAAATCGAAGTGATTATTCCTCTGTAATCAACTATTATACTTAAAAGGAAGTAAAGGCATAACGTATGCTTAGAATTCTTCTCTTTTTCGCCGTGACTAAAGGCGCTCAGACATTCCTACGAATTCCAACGGATTAAACATCCCTATAATGCTTCCAATTACGTAACAAGCGAAAACAATCCCACTACCCACACTAATAGTTAATTAGAACCCCGAAGAATCAGTGAAATCCAAAATATTCGAAACATTCACTCGCGTACAACCTGTAGATCCGATTTCCACGAGGATAGAGAACTCTTCTGAAGGTAAACTTCGAGAACATTCCGAAAGTGGAACTGGTTCAATTTCTAATTGACAAGTAGAAGAGGCTTTGGAATATTCTTTCTCGTCGATTGTTTCGAGCCAGGGGGCAGGGATCGATGGTAGGAAACCGAGCGCCCCCGAAAGGGGCACGCGCGCGTCAGCTGCGCCGAATCCTTTCGCTGGCGCCGCTAATTGGTTAACCTTTAATTGAGTACACGGTGAATAGAACGAAAGAAGAGACCCGGGGGCAGCCGTAGAAGCGTGGACGAGAAGCAATTAGCCCATCGGTCGGACTCGAACCGAACGATTGCCGCCTCCCTTCTTCGCGGCTAGCTTCCCTCGGCTCGTGTCCGGTGATCGGTCAACTGAAAATTACCCCCCTTCGCTTCCCGGGAAACCGATACTCCAGTATTCGTCTATTTTCAGACGACTTCCTCGTACGACGATCGGTTCTAAGCGGTTCCCGAGTTTCAGCGGTTTATGTTGAGACACTTGGGATTAGGGGACTTTGCGTTTGGAGTTAGGGGATCTAGCAATGATTGTTTTGTTAGCGTGATTTATTTATATTTTTGCATTTGAAAATTACCACCTTTCTTGTACATTGATCGGTTCTAAGTGGATTCTAAGTTTCAGTAGTTAATATTAAGAAACTTGGGATTAGGGGATTTTGCGTTTGGAGTTAGGGGATTTATCAATGATCGTTCTGTTAGTGTAATTTATTTGTACTTTTGCATTTGAAAATTACCACCTTTCTTGTACACTGATCGGTTCTAAGTGGATTCTAAGTTTCAGTAGTTAATATTAAGACACTTGGGATTAGGGGACTTTGCGTTTGGAGTTATGGGATTTATCAATGATTGTCCTGTTAGATAATGATGAGTTTTGAGGCAATTACGAGATAAGCTTCATCATTCCCTCATTATACAAGTATAATCCTTGCCTAGATCTCTAAGGTCCACTGTAATTCTTTCATAGATAAGTTTCAAGCAACGATCTGCTCAAGATAAGCTCGAAAGGAACGACTATTCGTTAACGGAATTCAATTGTCAACACTATAACCACCAAGCAGTCAAACTAACTTTCGATCTACAATTCGGTTCGCCTATTGCCAAGTGAATGTCGCTTCTATAGAGTCCTAAAGAGAACCGATCAATTATTTCTCACAGAAGCGTGTTGTCTTCAATCATTGCAAAAAGGGATCAAGAGTACTCCAGCAACCGTACAGTAGTCCCAGCGTTGGAGAGGGGAAAAGCGATTCTAATGAAAAAAAGGAGGATCCCGGTAGCAATTTGTCAGACGAGGGAAGAGAAGCGGCAGCGCCGCGGCTGCTCGGGCCGATTCTTCTCCGGCCGCATCCGTTCCGGTCCGGCGTGTGTCGTAATTGGTTCGGCGGGTGATTAATCGAGGGCCCATTTCGACCGTCTTAGCCTCTCGCGGCGGACAATTACGGGGGCGTGCGAGCACGTGCGCGGTCACCGAGGCCCGCGCAATTAGTCACGTTGCGGGGACGCGTGCGACGCTGCAGCCGCGGATCGTTTATGCAAATGCGAATTATGTAACGATCGAATTCCGACCTTGCTTACCGGCGACGTTCGTTTCAACACTTGGCCAACGAAAACAGAAGATCTCCGCATTGTCTTTTATTTTCTTTGATTTTTTCTTTTGTTATTTAGTGAGTCTTGAGTTCGAGTTACTTGCAATTTGTTTATTGTCATGTTGTTGTAACGTATGGAAGGGTTTCGTGAAAATGGTTGGGTTTGTGGAGTTTTTTGATAGGGATTTTCAACGTTTTCTAACGATACTTTGGAAACTAGGTTATCGTTGAGTCCGAATTCTTTGTAATTTGTAATTTGTAATTTGTTAACTGTTACGTTGTTGTAACGCATGAAAGGGTTTTCATGAAGACGGTTGGGTTTGTAGAGTTTTTCGAGTTATTCAACGTTTTCTGACGATTTGGAAACTAAGTCATCGAGAGATCACACGTGAATGAAGAGAATATGTTACTTTATTTCGATGTTTGGTACATTGTAGCGTGATGCAGAGCTT